AAAACGCATAAACTCTTTGCCCGCGACGCTAGCAAAGAGGAAAAGGCGTATTCGCGGAACACGCTACTTCGTACCGTGAAATTGGCGTTTCCCTCGTGGTTTTCGATGAAGCCAATATTTACCCTCGGTCTTAATGTCAGCGTAGGCCGTTGCCAAAACTAATATACGAATCGGTTTGGCCGTAAGCACCAGCGCCTAGGCGATTCTGCGATATCGAATCGAACGAATACAAATATAGACCCGCGATCCACCCTCGAACAGAGTTCTCACGAAAAGAAATGCTGAATTTTACGAAATCTCAACCATCGATTACTAGATAATTGAAATATAATGTCATTCAACTAGCACAATTGTGGTAGAACGCCCTCTAAGATTTCTTCGACACCTCGACTTTAATCATACCACAACAAAATGGCTGATACAAAACTACGATTACAAATGACCCACTACAAGTTCACAGAATTAATTCCTACCCTCCGCCTCCACCTCTAATACCTTTCAAAACACGAGTAGACGAATTCCTCTCCAACTTCCATGATAAACACCTCCCTACGAACACTTGAGTTCCCAAAGTACAATCGTCAGACCTGTCGAAGGCGTTATCATCCAGAGGGATGGTGCGAAACACGCTCCAACCTTTTCCTTCTTTCTCCAACCATTTCTCCGTGCTTAAACGTTGTTTGTTAAACGAGAACTGGAGGTATAGCGACAGAGAACGAGCGCTATGATTGATGAGTTCCACATTGAGCGAGAATCGAGGGGAAAACGCAGAATCCGCCGATGACTCGCGAGTTCGCCTAATTGTAATCAGTCGCGAAGCACGTGAACGTACGCGGCCGAATATCGGTATCGAAGTACGAACGGATATGTTTGTTTGTTGACGGACGACCGTAATCCGAGACCACGGAACGCCCGGGGTGTATGATCGATGTAAATGCGGACATGTAAACAGACATACTCGCACGCAGAGAGATCGATCGGGACTCGTCGCGCTTTGCGAAATTTATGCCAACGACGAACATTGTCGACCGTTTATCGTGAACGGAGCCAATATAAATATATCAACTGTATACGAAAGTTACAACATTTTAACAGCCATTACCTTCAATACAGTATCGTATCTGTGATCTTTTCGCTATGATTTCTCCAATTTGGACTTCCTCGAGTGATTAATTTGAAGAGATTGCTTATTTTAAGTGTCCAATCTAGCGTAACTTTTTAATAACGTGACGTTGCAACGAGGCGTTGTATAATTACGTTAGGATAATTCGATTAGCTGGTAGATTAGCTCGGTAAATTAACTCGAGAATGAATTGTCATCGCCATAGAGTCTTGTATGTTTTATATCTCAGCTCGTCGCTATAGTTTATCTGCGAACTTTATCGAGTCCGAGTAATTAAATTACAAGGGCGAAGGAGGATCAATTAACTAGAAAATAACAAGAAAATGAAGGACAGGGGGAAAGGCAGGGAACAATGCACGGTCGATGCATCGAAAAATAAAATCGATAACGGCTTATCAACTCTGATTATGAAACAACAACGTAGCTCGATCGTGTCATCGATCTATTTTATTTTTCTTTAGAAATTTCCAACGCGCGATAAAGTGTCGCGCGTTGAAACCGACATATATATTTTTAGTCGTGGCGTGACGCACAGAATACACTTCTGCACCCTCGGCGATAAATCACGCGAGAGACCTCATCGTAAATTCTCGGCCCTCTTGAATGTTAAGAGAAGACCAAGAATTTCCCATATCAATTCCAGATTCCTGCTTAGATGGTCACGAATGGGTCAATCATGAATAACATCAAACAAAATTTGCGCTCTTTGAACCAGGGTTACGTTTTGGAGGATTACTAGAAGTACCACTTGTTTCGAGGGTACAGGATATAGAAAATACTCCAATCTTATATTAAAATGCTTCGATCCTAAAATGCTTGAATACTAAAATGCAACAATCCTACAATAATAACAATGACTCGTTGCCGTTAATTTCAAGCAATCCAACGATATACCAATCTGTCCAGAAAATTCCCTAGACTCCACGAAAACCGACGCCACCGAGAAATCGAGGGAAATGTTTTTACCACGACTCGATTGACTGCAATCGCGGTCACAGCTAAATTGACGACTACTGGAAATATCGTTTCGATATTCGAAACGGCGCCGAAATTATTCGGAATTCAAGCATCAGCAGTTTCGACACACTCGAAAACAAACGGGAATCGCTCGAGCGTGTTTACAAGCGCGGTCAATATTCTAAATCAGCCGACCCTAATTGCGAGCCCGCGTTCGAATTAGATTCGATCAGTTTCTGTGGCTGAATGAAACGCGCTTGGATAAAACGATTGCCTCGAAACAAAACCAGATTAGATACAATTTTTACAAAGTAAGGATGTATAAGAAAAAATAAAAAAAAATACTAGCTACCGAAAGCAAGGATCTCAGAATCTATTCAGGTCCTCGGATGGAACCATAAACTTCCATTGAAACCCATTCCCTTCATTCAAAATTTATTCCAATATTCCTTACAAATTTATACCGAACTGTTTTGGAATAACAAATTCTATGTCAATACTCCCGCAGAGCGCCTGATGTATCCCTAACAAATAACCATTAAAATAATAAATAAACATTTATAACCTAACAGAGTGACGAAATACCAGTGTAACGTGGCATAGCAAATATCAGGCTAAATTCGTCTTCGTTTGAAGCAGAATGGTTCGGGCCTGAAGAGGTGAACGCGATCGGTAACGAGAAACAAACAAACGGGGGTACACGTTGCAGGTGACACTGTATAACGCGTGCTCTACGCTCCGTGTTTATCGACCGTGGCAGAAACTCTCGGCCAAAAAGACGCGGGGTGTGGTCAGAAATGTTCCTTTTGCACCGTGTGCACAGCTTGTCAAACAAATTCTTCTGTTTTCCGAGACGAGGTCACTCGAGGTCACGGGTGACACGAGACCGATATCCATGCCCCTTTGAGACATCTATAGAACGTCGAAACTCGCGTCGAATGGCGTACCGCGTGTCCTATCGACGTTATACTTCTAGAAAATTCGTATCACGCGATCGAAACGCTGATACCTCGGTATGCACGACGGACAATCATTTATTAACACTTTTTTTTATCGGTGGCATAACCTATTAACTGCGGCGACGGGTATACTTATGAGAAAACAGACAAGGGGTTAAATATACCTAGCAACAGTGTCCGGAAATGTTAAGGCTGAATTAACCTATACCGACGTAGGAAACCCTTTACAGAATCGTAAAGTAGGTCGCTAAATTCATTTGTGAACACATTATTCACCGATCGAAAAGTTGATTTCGGCATGAAATATTATGTATTAATTAAAACAAATACATAAAAGTGTCTTACAGAAAAGGAACAGCGGCGTGACAGATTCGGAAAGAGTCGAAAAGAATCAGCTTCGAATTCCAACGTGTCTTCCAGTCCCGTTACACTTACACGTAAGATGGATGCTCGCTCTCGAATTATCAATTTTCGATAGTATCGAACGCAACGTGCATTCAGCTGTATTCAAATCGAACGACAAGTGTGTCGAAATGAGAGAATGCAGCTTGAGGAAAACAAATGGAGATCTAGTGACTTTTAGGGACAACGTCGTGCAAGGCTGCAACCACCTGCCGTCGCTGAACCGTGATTCGGGGGAATGTCGAAGGGGTAAAGGCTGCGATCGCGGAGAAAGTCGGCGTTGAAGGGAAAAGAAAGGCGAAGAAGACGGAACGAGCCAAGGTGCTGGCAGGAAGAGAAAGAAGGGGTGAAGCGGAGAGCGCCAGAAAGAGGTCGAAGGAGGGGGATGAAGGTAAAAAGCAGCGCGACGACATCGTATTGATTTGGTGACAGATCCGCGTACGATGCGGATACCTCGTTTTCGACGGCGAAGACCACCACGGCGGACACATCGTGCGGACGGCAAGCGCCCTGACGCTTTATATATAGAGGCTGAGCCACGAGCAGACAGGCCGTGCCGCTTAAATATAGACGAAATGCAACGGGGTGTCTCCCGCGCGAGCAAGAGACACGGACGCGAAACGATCGAGGCGACGGGAAAGGCGGATAGAAAGAGAACGACGAACCGTCAGCGGGGAAACGGCCAGAGAAGAAAGAGACAGTGGCGTAATCAAAGGGTGTGCAGCGCGTGCCGAGCACGCGAGCTTCCCCGATTCCACTTGTCTCTCACTTCCTTACGAACCAAACACAAATCCACGGAATAATTCTAAGAAATTTTCCTCGCTACCACTCACCCCTAAATATACAAAATTCCTGCCTAGAATTCCAGAAATCACTAGAAATGTTTCAATTTAACGAATTGCGAGAACACGGGAGGGTTATGGAGCAATCGGAGTTTTATTCTGGGTGTCGATTGCACTAACAATTTTATCGATTATTTTTCTCTGCACTGGGAGTAGTATCTTGTACGTATACTGATACGGGGTTTAAGGGGATGGTCCACTTTCACGCGGGTCCCATAATCAGTAGCTACGCGGTTGAAAAGAGGCCCCGCATACGCAGAGAATAATCATGGCCGACGACACGGCGTCGTCTGCCAGGAAATCGGCACCGAACGTTTCGTTCGTCGCTGTCGCATCCTATGGTGGACGACACGACGAACGAGCGACGAGGAACGAGCCGTCGATGGCACGAGATACGTCTCGACGCATGAAACTCCCGTAACACCAGTTCGCGCGTGATAAAAACACGACGACAGAGGACAGATGCACAAGTAACGCGCGAACGAGCGAGAGAGAGAGAGAGAGGGAAAGAGAGGACGAGCAGAGGGAAAGACAGAGAGGTAACGCGTGTGTGTACACGAGAGCCAAAGAGAAACGAAAGAACAGGTCGCGACACGCGGTCGATGTTAACCGATCACCACGGTTTTTTCGTACGGTGTCTGTTTTCGATCACTCGGTTTCGTTCGTTTCTCGCGATGTCGCCAACGGGTGTTGCGAGAGGTTTTCTATTGTACTTACTTGCCCAGTTCCTCCTTGACTTCGTAGTTGTCACTGAACCGCGTGCAAGTGGCCGGAGCAGCCATGCCGAGGTATCGCGATTATTTACCGCACTAACCGAGGAACGTAACGCGAGAGCCACTGCCGGCCGCCACTACCGCACACGCTAGGAGAAACTTCGCAGGTCGAATTCGATCAATAGAGGGGAACCGCCGCGGCGCTGGTAGAACACCGGGTAACCCGTCGCGAGGGAGGGAGGGTCGTCGGGCCGGGCAGAGAGGAGGTGGTTCTCTGTCCGCGGGATCCGTCCGCGTTACCGTGGGCTCCGACGGTGGGGCAAATCGCGGTCGTGCCAGCAAATATTTGCGGGCAACGACAACCGTATCCTTTCGACGACGCGTCCGCACTGCTCGCCGGCAGACCGTCGACTGACTCGCGTAGTGGTGGGCGCCTTCGTCTAGCGATGGCGCAGACGGTCTTGGAGACCACCCGGCAATGGCGGCGATCGACTGCGCCGCCCTACGGAGGGTGTTCGCCCGCTGCTCTTACACATTTTAGGGCTTGTTTAGACGAGTCAGATATTCAATCGTAAACTACGAAATTTTCGTTGGAGGCTCTTTTACTTTTGCATTTATTAGGGAAGAAGGATTTCAAGAAAGTTTTCTTTACCGAATCAACCCTTTTGGTGGCTATCTGAATTATTCAATGAGAACGAGAAATGGTGAGTTAAGTTAACCTAACGTACTTTGATCAAGTTTGGTACAAGAATTATACAAAATTAGTTTATCGGGTGAAGGAATTAATTCTGTGCCTTTCTATCGAATCATTTATAACTCTAGGTAGAAAGTCATCATTTTTGTTATGTTAGAGTACCAACCTTTTAAACAACAATAACCCAATTAATTTTGCCTAATTGGATTAATAATTGAACCTACTTGAACTCAAGATATAAACATACACGAATGTGTACATGACGTTATACCTAGCAGGTGGCGTTAAGAAGCAGACCCCCTTTTTCTCCCTGTGGTACCCCTCAGACCTGAATCATTTCTACAATACAATCTACAAACGCAGGGGTGACGATGATGGCGCTTCGCCACCCCTTCGAACGCAGCCAACCTGCGCGAAATAACCCGGGGGGATCGAGGCAACGCATTTAAATTTAGCACCTGGAATTACGCTCGATCACGCGGCTAAACTTTTCAAAGATCACGCTTCAGAGTGCAATTTTCCTTTCCCTTCTATTGCTTGGTCTTTTTTTATCGGCCTTACTTTTGCTTTACTCTCTTTTCTTATTTTTGGATGAATTATCAAGAGGACGTGGAAATTCTTTTCTTGAACTTGACACAAGTGGTCTTTGTCCACAGATAATTATCTTTAGATGTATGAAAAGGAGAAGAGAAGGTGGAGAGAGAGACGGGAGAAGGGTAATATGTCTTGAGACTGTTTGTAGGTTCGTTAGTAAGACGTGTGTGTATAGGAATCAAAGCTAGTCGTGTACTTGTAAGAAAGGTATCGGAGTTGCTGCCTCGCGACCTCGACCACTGAAAGGAGTCGCAGATCGTCCCTGGTTAGATGGGATACCGTGTACTAACTCGATTCCGCATGTCCGACATAAACACGAGATTTACTACTGGCGCATACGCCGAGCGGAGCTTCGGTATCACTTCGATCGGCTTTCTGGCTCGCGTCCAATTAGAACGATACACTGAGCATAGATCTCGAGAAATTAAAAGGCGAACAGTGTATGAGCGATGAGTGCGAGTTTACTGGGTCTATTTCAACCTATAGCAACTATAGCAAACATACCAGGCTTTTATATTATTTTGTCATTAATTTTCAAAATTAAGAGAGGTCAGGAATACATCAATATTTTTCTTTCTATAAATCGTGGTTCCTGCAACACATTGATTAAATTGTGCAAACGTTGTACGTATGTATATCTCTTCTTGGATCACATTAGTCTACTGCAGAATAAACAAAAAAGCGTTTTTAGGTGTAAGAAGCAGAGATAGGGTGTATCACTTGACGAATTCCAAATTTTCCTTTATAAGTTCGTGTTTATATAATCTTGAAATTTGAACATGTTTATACCGTATCGGTAACAATATTAGCTTATCTCGTAGTACAACTGTTTCTCGTAACAAAGTAAAAGGAAAGTATCAAATTTCGGTTGTTTCTCTAAAATACTGTACAAAATACAAGTTTTCAAAAGCATAGAATCGTTACTTCATAAAAGTAAAAGGATGACGTTCACCCATAGAAATAAACCATCGTTCTCGATTACTAATTCTCCGTTCGATCTATGATATACACACATTCGCATGCGCACACACACTTGCACATACACTCTCTATAATAATGTAAATCTCATAATTGCGTTATCGACAGCTTCGTAAAGTAGAATCACGTTTGTAATTTGAAAAGCGTCGCATCACCAGTCCCGTTTTTTTTTAATTAATACGAATATGAACAACCGTTAAATGCATTGGAATCATTCGTTGGGAAATCTTTTATTCTCTCCGAGCAAGGTACGTCTTCGTTGCTCTCTAACGGAATACTAATCCCTTATCGTAAAACTAAATATAAATGCTAAAAATGGTGCAAAGTATTAACTCTAAGAACTGCGTAATACACGTACGAACATAAGGAACATTCGTTTCGAATCACGTTCGTACTCTAATACAGATACGAGTCTATAATTGCTAAGTACTTTGAAACGCATTTGTCGATGATAAGTTTCACGAATTCACCGTCATCGCGAGAACATCATGACGTATTTTTTAATTCGTCCCCTTTCTTTTTCAATCTCTCACTCTCTCCCTTTCACTCTCTTTATTGCTCTCTGAGTTTTTAATGAAGTCTACGATATCACGTAAAACAACTGAACACACTGAATATGCTGTGCTCGAAATAAATCATCGACGTTCCGTGTCGATAAGACTTTACTCGGTCGTGACCGATTTCGCCAGATTTCTGGGACAATCAACGTTGCAACCGCGGAGAACTGCGATATGAAAAGACAACAGTTGCATGGGAATGACTGTGAGAACTCCTTGTAAACAATCGACTGTCTTGGGCACCTCGAGGACCTTGTCCGCGAACGATTTGGTCTCCTCGTCACCTTCCTCGCAGATGAGGATCGGTTTGCCATCGCGCGCGGTTACCTGTTGCAACGCGTTCATGCATTTCTGAAACAAATAATTATAGCATGACGTCTGTACACGATAAACTTCTTCGTGATTGATACTATGCAATAGCTGGCATTGCAAGAGAAAAAGTTATTCTTCAAATAAATTTTTCATTATAAGGTACGAATACTTATAAGACTGACTAGCTCTGTTTAGTATCAACCATTCCAATTTACCGTGTAAACAGGATCCCTCATAACGATCATTATCACGGGCATGGAGTCGTCGACGAGTGCCAACGGGCCGTGTTTTAATTCGCCAGCCATGATGCCTTCGCTATGCATGTAGGTCAACTCTTTAACTTTCTGCAAAGAAACAGACGAACAACGGACTAAATTAATAAGCCACGTCACGTTTGAGATGATTCGAAACGTTACGCCAGTGCGAGAGAGTGGCTAGAACGGTATCAACGATTCTTGAATCGCTGGCAACTTACCAGAGCGCCTTCCATACATGTGGCGAAGTTGTATCCTCTGCCCATAATCAATAGAGACTTATGTTGGAACAGAGACTTGGCCAGTTCTTTCACTTTGTTGTCGAGCTGCAAAACCTGACGGATCAGATTGTCCAAGTTCTTCAATCCTTCGATGATCTGTTGAAAAGAGGACTTGCGTTATCATTCTTATTCCAATCTTAGTTTTTGTCAAAGCGATTGAGAGGGGCGATGAGAATACCTGCTGGCGTCTGGTGCCAAGGGAGATTCTATCCTCGCTCATGACCAGAGCGAACATTACGAGAGAGATGAACTGGGAAGTGTAGGCCTTGGTACTGGCCACCCCAATCTCAGGGCCAGCGTTTATGTGAACGCCACAGTGTGACTCGCGACAGATGCTGCTGCCCACGGTGTTGGTGATCCCGACGATCAGGGCTCCGCGACCTTTGCAGTAGCGCAGGGCCATCAGCGTGTCTGCTGTCTCGCCTGTCAAGTGAATTTAATAATACAGTTTAGGTAAGGTACAGTAAGGAATAATTTCTCTTGCCTTTTGAACTTACCTGACTGTGAGATGAAGAAACACACGTCATCCCTGAATACTGGAGTATTTCTGTCCAAGAAATCAGACGCCAACTCGACCATAACTGGCAGCTCGGTGAGTTCTTCCAAGAGCTGCCTGGTGGCGATGGCGGAATGATAACTCGTCCCACAGCCGATGAGCATCAGACGTCTGCACCTTTTGATCTCGGGAATGTAGTCCTGATAACAGACAGAACAGAACAGTCTATTAGACTGATTCATCTAAATAAATGAGGATGGCCAAACTGATTGAGACTTGCCTTGATGCCTCCCAAGGTGACAGAGTTGTCCTGGAAGTTCAAACGCCCTCTCATCGTGTTTACTACTGACTCAGGCTGTTCGAAGATTTCTTTCTGCATAAAGTACTCGTAGTTGCCCTTCATGATCTGTTGGATCTCGATCTTCAGGGTGGTAATCTCCCTAGCATGGGGATCATCCATGCATCGACGAAGACGGTGGATACTGAGAGCACCATCTTTGACTGCAGCCACATCGTCATCCTGAAATCGAAGGATATCGTTGATGAATATGCATTCTGAGCATTAATAGCAATTGCAGTTACTGAGAATAGTTCTCTAACATTTTGTTCTTCTAAATTAAAAATTGAGTAAAAGAGTCTTACCTCCAAAAATATAACGCGATTCGTGTGCTCGATGACAGCGCTAGCGTCAGAAGCGAAGAAGTACTCGACTTCTTTGTCCTCCAGGGGTTGAAACTCGGATGTGCTATCGCTGCGAGGCATCACCGGAAGTTCAGCGGTGCGACCGTGTGGACGATGGTCTGCCAAAAATGATAAATTAATTCTCTGGCTCTATCGAAGAGCGTACATCGAATATATCTATACTTTGCAGCAGTGGTCGATAACCTGTGACCCTTGGATGAAGCCAATACGCGAATTAAACGTTTCGCTATCGTTTCCAGCTTGAAAATAAATTTTCCAACAGTTGTTCGACAGTTGTCGACCGTTGCCTCGTAGCATAGATATATTACAAACTCGTAGATTCGATAAGATGCACACCAAGCGCAGTTTTCACCAAATTATTCAATACTTTCATTCACTGGACTCGATTCGAAAGATTTCGAAGTTGAATGGGAAAATACAAATTGGGGAATGATGATTTCGCAGTCTGAAAACAATTATTTATTTCAAGCTTCGATCTTCTGTTCGAGAATCAACATTGAAACGTTTCCATTGATGGGTTCCAAAGATCGGAAGCA